AGCAGGAAGAAGGGACAGGAAAAGGGGTCAGAATCCGCTACCGGGCATTTGGAGGGACTGAAGTGGGAGGTTTTGGTTGTAAATGAGCCTGTTGTTAATGCATTTTGTTTGCCTGGTGGCAAGATTGTAGTTTTCACAGGGTTGCTCGAACATTTTAGGACGGATGCTGAGATTGCAACCATAATTGGGCATGAGGTATTTGTGCCATTTTGTTGATCATTTGGTGCATTGCATATATTTAGCTGTATTTCTGCTTTTGTTTTAGTATGGTCCTATTCGCGCCTTTGTTTCAATGCTTTGATAGGTTGGGCATGCCGTGGCTCGCCATGCTGCTGAGGGAATTACGAAAAACTTGTGGTTTACGATCATTCAAATGATTCTTTATCAATTTGTTATGCCTGATGTTGTTAACACCATGTCAGCCCTGTTCCTAAGGCTTCCATTCTCACGCAGGTATGTATATCGCCTTTTATTGTCTGGATTTTTAGTTTCTCTTGCTTGTGTGTTTTATGTTATATCTTTCTCTTTTAGGATTTAGTTAACATTTTTGTGTATTATCACACAATTCCCTCAGTTATTCAATTACACTAAGTTAATAAATAGTCATAGAAATGTCACATACACGTTCAATACGCTGCCAAGAAGCAGGAACTACTCTCCTGAAATGCTTGCATCATAGAGTTGTCATTCTAGTAAGCTCACTTTTTGTGTTACAGCAGTATTGTTTACGTGAAATATTTGTTAATGCTGATTCGGATAATTGCAACATGTAGGCATAGAGCTTGAGCCTCTCTGTATAAGCTTGATCACTTCAAAATCTTGATTTGCATGTCTTGGTGCCCCCCTTTTTTACATATATATCAAGGCATGTCTTAGTGTCCCTTGTCCTTTTCATATGCGTCCTCCAAACCTCATGTGAAGAAAAAACATATTTACAATAAAATTGTTATACTCACTATCTAAATTACATTATACTTCGCTCAAATGGTTCCCATTGCACACGCATGGGCCCTTCTAAATGGTTGTCCCTTCATGTCTGACACATATGAAATAGTACAACAGAACATGAGACATTGAAATTGTTGGTAGTTAGGAATTCAATGTTTTATCCAAAAGTGTTTTGCTTCTATACCAGGCGAATAGAGCTTGTAGAGCAACCAAAGAAAAAGAAAGAGACGCAAGACTTGTTTTTGTGCCCCTTTGGACCAGCAGAACAGGGTGTCTGGGAACCCGATATCCTAACTCTGGCACAGCGTGGGAAGAATTTATAAGGTTTTTGTTTAGGAAGGTATTAGAAAAAAGTAGAGCAAGTTTATAATGTAGACAACTTGGTTTTTAGGGCTTGTAAAGATGCTCATCTACATGCTCTCTGCAATGAATGGTAGGGTAAAAGAGGGGATCTTCCCTTGAGTGCTTTATGTGAGGGTTCTCTTGATTTAGACATCTCAAGATGCTTGGTAAAGACCATGTTCCCTTTGTATCGATGTTAACATGATAATGGCTGGCCGGGTGCAATTGAGTGCACATTGCATTCATCTTCTGATGTTGTTAGTTCCTCCTTTCCGGAGATGCTTTTTGCTTCTTCTCTCTTTTCCCCGTTTCATTCTTTGATTCAACCCTGATTCATCTCTCATTTTCCGGTTCAGTGATATAAGTTCGTCAATTTCATTCATGAGCGAGTTTGCCTGAAACATAGAAAAGACATTCCAAGGGAAAAAACAGGATAGTTGATGGGCGTCTGCTACACAGCACAGGCGCGGATACGAGTACGATATGAAAATCAAAATATGGGGGGCTGTATGTAAATGTTTGGTTATATCTGTTTGATAGTTTTCCTTAAGATGTTGAAAGTCTAAAGAATGTTGTAAAAATCATTAGTAACAATGAAAAACAAAAGCCATAAGACATGTTCCGTCAATTCCTCTGATTTTGACATTACAAAAATGTGAATGTAAGTCAAATTACCATTCAGTAGGTATTTATTATCCGAAAGCATCTCAATATTAACCGGAAAAATGGGGGTACAAACTAAAGATGATTGTTCGGTATAAAAGACAATGAAGCAGTGTCCTTAACTGCAAGGATAGATTGCAACCTGTTCTTTGCAAAACAAATTTGGCAATTCCATGCTGACAAATATTCCTTTTCATATTCTTAACAAGGCAATCCAAAGTTCCAATCTACCAGAAATCTAAAGAGTCTTCAACCAGAAGACACGAACACCTAGCAGCTCTTCAAAATTTACTCAAGAAGTATTGGCTTAAATTGAGTCCTGGTTTTTCTTATTTGAATTAACCCGCCCTGTTTCCTCTTCTCAGAATTGCAGGATGACCTAAAATTGGCCACTGAATACCTATTTTAGGTTAATATTTGAATCTTAAAACCAGGATGCTCTATCCTGAAATGAAACAAGAAATACCTCATCCCAGTAATGGAGTATCCCTGGTACAGTGTGCATTAAAAATTAATACTTGTGTGCCATAGGATGTCTTTCAATTAGTGAGCCTTTCGGATGACAAATATAATTTTGAGAAAAGGGAACCTGAGTTTTCTAAATTTTAGGGGGCCTAGCCTTAGGGTGTTTATTTGGTTAGTGAATCTAAGGCGGTTCTCAGGAGTCTATCACAGGAAATTCAACGTGCCAAAAGTGAGAGCCAAAAAAAGGCAAAAAAGGAGACACAACATCCATTTAAGCAGGACAACCTAAGTTTGAGATGTTATCCTCTCAAACTCTTGTACTTTTTGTCTAAGTGGTGCCAATAGGTAATATAGTCCGTGTGAACAGAAAGCTATAATATGTGACCAGCTTATGTTTCTTACAACTTGGTGCTACTTTCTGATTTTTTTTATATGTGCGTTGAACGTATATCCTAGTCTCCTCATTTGTGACATCAGTTTAGTTGTTGACTCCAGGTCACCCCAATTTTTCTGTATTTGACATCATCCATTTAGTCACTTGGGTGAAAGATTTTAGAATTTTATTGATCACGTTGTGAGTAATGAAAGAAACTATGTTAAAAATGATTGGAAAATAGGTAACAAGCTTCTGTCTCCAAAGGGATTAGACACCTCAACATTCAAAATGAATGGGAGCAGCAATATCTGTCGTGTAACCCACCTTCCCCGCCCACAGGTCCCACATAAAAAATGAATAAATACGGGGAGGAAGTCACTGATTCCAGATGCTCAAATGTTTTTATTTGTGCCCGTTGTCTGGTGCATTTTATTATTTAATGGTGGTCTAGTAAGTTTTTTCTTCTATTAATCTGTTTATAACTTTTGATGAAAAAAGTTTGTAATCACTATGCATCCATAGTTTTACTGTGATCCTGGAGTTCATAACTAATGAGATATGCAACAGTAAGTATATTTAGGTTTATTCTTGTTCTGGTTTTGTTGGTTAAAATCTGTAGTGTATTGCTCGATGAGCTTGTTCCAGTTGAAGAGGTTGGTGATATAACTAATCACACTGATCATTGAGAGTTTGGAACCGAAACTCTTGGCTTCAAACCTTATTGCCATCACCTACTTGTTATATGGGTTGTTAAATTCTGTTGAGTCTCACTGTTAATATCTCAAATGCTTTATCTGTGTGTGCTTCACATGTCTTCTTAGCGAGCATGCATATACAATGCAAGAAATAAGCTCATGGTGCTAGATAGGATGAACGTTTGCCGGGTGTAATTCCTGTTGCATTTATGTGTTACCAGGATGGAGATGGAAGCAGATTACATAGGGCTGTTGTTGATGGCTTCTGCTGGATATAACCCTCGAATAGCTCCGGCAGTCTATGAGAAGCTGGGCAAGATTTCTGGTGAATCAGCTTTGAGAGATTATCTGTCAACTCATCCTTCTGGGAAGAAGAGAGCACAATTGTTGGCTCAGGCTAAAGTAATGGATGAAGCCCTTTCGATATACAGGGAAGTACAGGCGGGAAAGGGGATTGAGGGTTTCCTATAGAGGATACAAAGTGCATACACCATGTGAGGTGGGGAAGGTTTTGTCTTTTACAAAATTGTGGTTTTTGGACGACTCCAATTTCCTTTCGTGGCTGCACAAGTTGATTCTTCTCAAATGCTATTCCCAATGCGTTATTTAGTGGAGAGGTGTATTTTTCGAACAATACCACATAGCTCCCAGTTATGGAGCTGTAGGTAGGTTAGCCCTTCTTTTCTATTTTGGCAAAACGATCACACATCAGAAGCAACTGCCAAGTCTTTAAGCCAAAGAGAAATGTCGTCTTCTTTGCAAGATGAAAAAACTTACAGCTTTGTGAAGACATACACTTCAAAGAACAGGGTATCTGTTTCAAATCCTGTGCCGCCAAGTTTCTAAGAAATTGAGGAAGCAACTCGTGTGCAACATTCCATCTTTTCAAGTAAAGTTCCGTTGTTGATCAACTATCAGCCTTTGCAATTATTTGTCTTCTGGTTGGATTTCCTATGGCAATGTATAAGGCAATTTTCTATCTTCTCCAGGAACTTGGAATGTATAATGTATGGCCTGCCATGGTACTTATAATTGGTGAGGTCCACTTTGCATCTCGACTTTTCCCATGTAAATATATCTTTGGAAATCACAAGGAGAAAGCATACCATACCATGCCAGTAGCGAGATCGGAGTGAATCACTTTATTTGGAGATATATATGACAACACACCTTGGCTTTCAAAAATGTGGGCATATAACTTGATATATCTGCTTCAATACTACATTTGGAGCCTTTACCGCCTTTCACATCCACCAAGCTCTCCTTACAAGTGTTAATCTCTAGCATCTTAATATTTTCTTGGCAAAGTGGCATATCTAGCTAGCTTTTTTATTTTTTATTTCAGAATTTGGAAGGAAATGATAGTTCACCAAGGAATTTAGCAAATGCTACACTTATTTCGATTGGAATGAATTGTACATTAACGTCAGAAAAGGCCAACAGTGAGTTGAAATAGAATTGACTGTTCCCAATTTCCTTATTTCTGTTTTAAAACTCTGAACAATATACTACTACTAGATTGTCAAACGATGGAGTTCCAAAGGTTAAATTTGAAGAATAAACTGACATGCCTGCTTGAGAATTGCAGGAGCATGAGAGAACTGAAGCAGATACACGCCCGCATCACTACATCTCCTCGCCTCTTCATCACTGACCGTTGCTTCCTAATCTCTCGCCTTATTTTCTTCTGCACGGTTTCTCAATCAGGGTCTCTCACCTATGCCAACACTTTATTTAGATTCGTTCCCAAAAAAACTCTCTTTATTTACAACTCCATGATCAGAGCTTACGCTTCAAGAATCCACGACCCCACTTCATGTCAGCCGTTAGTTTTGTACAAACAAATGCTCTTTGATGATATTACACCTGACTCTATTACACTTCCCTTCGTGTTAAAACATTGCGTGAGCAGAGTTGATGAATTCGTCGGACGAAGTGTTCATGCCCACGTTGTTAAATTTGGGTTTCATAGTGATGTTTTTGTGCAAAATTCTTTGATAGGTTTGTATTCACAGTGCGGGTCTGTGGGAATTGCAAGGAAGGTATTTGATGAAATGTCAAATCAGGATATTGTTTCGTGGAATTCTATGGTAATTGGGTGTCTGAGAAACGGAGAGTTGAATATGGCCTTAGAGTTGTTTAGGAGGATGAAGAGGAGGAATATTATTACATGGAATTCAATTATCACAGGGTTTGTACAAGGAGGTAGACCAAAAGAAGCTTTAGAATTCTTCTATGAAATGCAAATTTCAGGTGATGATATGGTTAGTCCAGATAAAATGACAATTGCTAGTGTAATCTCAGCTTGTGCTTGTCTTGGAGCAGTTGATCAAGGTAAGTGGGTGCATGATTACTTGAACAGAAGTGGAATGGAGTGTGATATGGTGATTGCCACAGCGTTAGTAGACATGTATGGCAAATGTGGGAGTGATTCTCGAGCACTTGATGTTTTTAAGGCAATGAAAAATAAGGATGTTTTGGCATGGACAGCGATGGTTTCTGCTTTTGCTCTTAATGGGAATGGCAGAGAAGCTTTCGAGCTTTTCTTGGACATGGAAGAGGCTGGAGTGAGGCCTAATGCTGTAACTTTTACTGCTTTGTTGTCTGCTTGTGCGCATTCTGGCCTTATAGAGATAGGCCGAAGGTGTTTTGATGTGATGAGGCGCGCTTATCACATAGAGCCACAAGTTCAACACTATGCTTGCATGGTTGACATTCTTGGTCGAGCTGGTCTCTTTGATGAAGCAGAAGGGCTAATCAGAAGCATGGCAATGGAGCCAGATGTTTTCGTTTGGGGTGCACTACTTGGTGGCTGCCAAATGCACCGAAATTTTCAGTTAGGAGAAAAGGTTGCTCGGTATTTAATTGCTTTGGAGCCTCTGAACCATGCTTTTTATGTTAATCTTTGCGACATATATGCCAAAGCTGGTAGATTTGACCATGTTAAGGAGATTAGAGCCCTTATGAAGGAGAAAGGGATTGAGAAGACAGTTCCTGGATGCAGTATGATTGAAGTTGATGGAGTTGTCCACGAATTTTCTGTAAGAGGAACACCTCAAGTTTTGATGACAGAAATAAAGTCTGTATTAACTAGTTTGAGTGATGAGATGGGAAGGAGAGTTAATATGAGCCCTTCTCTGGAATGATGAGGAGATAAGTTAATTAACATATGAAAATACTTACTGGTTTTTCAAATTCCATCTTTTAATTCAGCTGTATCCCTTTGTTTGGATTATGGTGCATGGGAATTCATGCATATGGATGACCTAAGTGTTCAATCTCTTCTGAACATTAAATCAGAGGCTAGCATATCTTTGAGTGAGTGTGTTGAAGAACCAACATGAGCCACATATTAAGCAGAAGGCTAGAGAGTTCTGGCTTAGAACCTTAATCACCAGAAAGCAAAGGGACTTGTGTATGAAAGTCTAATGATACCAGAATTATCCATAGTGACCGCTTTAATTCTAGTGAGCCTAATTTGAATGGTAGGGGTGGTGATGGAAGTGTTGTTGGCCTAACACCAGGTTCTTAAGCAACCTTATGTCTGCCCATGAAGGGTGTTCAGCTTCAATGCTACCACTTCTCAACTATTTGTGAAACCATGTATGCAGGTCCTGTAATTTTACTTTCAAGTGTGTGTCTGTCGTCTGAATTTCATTTCTTGGTTCTTAGTCTCTTCTGTTTCAGTCCTTTTTCTATTCTTGTCATATTGATTTGGCCTCAATATCCTACTTGTCTATTGTGCATGAGGTTGGAACAGACAAGAACACGTTTTTGGATAAATTACTCGTTCGTGTTCTATAATTTCTTTTTTACGTGCTTGGATATTACAACATTCTTTAATAGGGGACAACAAATTTGGTTGGTATGTCTCATTTTCAGACATTATATATATGGGCAGGCAGGGGCGGATTTAGGGGGCGCAAGGGGGTTCACCAACCCCCTTCGCCGAAAAATTTCACGGTATATATAAGGCAAAATCTGGTTTTTATCTCTATATATTAAGTTTTGAACACCCTTGACACAACCCTGAAGTGTAGTTTAGTGGTCAATGGGGTTCAAAACTTTCATAAGGTCACAGGTTCAATTCCCACCAGCCACAAATTTTTTTTTTGAACCCCCTTCCAGGAGATCCTGGCTCCGCCAATGTGGGCAGGCAGCTTAACATCTCATTCCCACTGAAAAAAGGAGCTCTTTATCCATGGACGTTCCATCTATTCCTACTACTCTCACAGTTACAGCATTGGCTGTTATCTTAGCAGCATGTTTGTTCAAACTTATCTTCAACGGGTCAGCAAACAAAGGAAAGTACCATCCTGTTGCTGGAACAGTCATCAACCAATTGCTGAATTTCAACAGGCTGCATCATTACATGGCAGAACTGGCAAGCAAATACAAGACCTATAGGTTGCTTTATCTTTTCCGAAGTGAGGTTTACACCTCAGACCCTGCTAATCAAGGGCGGCCCTACCCTAAAGCAAGTAAAGCAACTGTTTTAGGCCCCCATTTTTATTATACCTAATATATTATATACTCTCTCTATGTTTCAATTTAGATGAGGATGTTTGACTCGTCACGGATTTTAAAAAAAAGACTTTTAAAATTTGTGATCTTAAAAGCTTAAAGGGTAAAAGGATTTGCAACTGGTATAATTTTTGCAAGGAAATTGCATCTGAAATGAAAATCAAACCCGAACTTCGTAAGAAACGTGTGATATATAGAAAAAAAAATTTGACGAGAATATTGGTTTTGAAATCTCTAAATATCTTGAAGAGTCTTTCACAGTTAATTACTTTTTATACATAGTAGACAAGACTATTTTTTCACTTAAAAGTAGATTGAACAATTCGAAGCACATGAAAATATTTTTTGTTTTCAATTTAGCGTAAAAATTTGAGATCACTAAATGATGAAAATTTGGAAAAATACTACCTTAATCTTGATGTTCCTTGAAGCTTAATAATCAATCCGATACTGATGATTTAAATTTCTTTTCTAGATTAAAAGTGTTAAGGAAAATAGTACAATTAGAAAATAACAATTTAATTGATATACTCAATAAAATAAATTTTTTTTGATTCCTTTCCAATTCTCTTCATTGCTTATAGAATAATTTTAATAAGTCCTGTTACCGTTACTTCAGCAAAATGAAGTTTTTCGAAATTAAAATTGATAAAATCTTAACTAAGCTCAATAATGTCCGAAGAGAGGTTAAATGGATTAACTATATTGTCAATTGAGAAAGAATTATTAGAAAAAAATTGATTATAAAAAAATTATTTATGACTTCGCATCTAAAAAAATAGAAAAATAGACTTCAAATTAAAAAATAATAATTAAAAAAAATTAAGCCCCCGCATAAAATTTGGCTTTAGGCCACAAAATTTGTCGGGCCGCGGCTAATGTGGAGTATATTCTGAAAACCAATTTCCCCAACTATGGCAAGGTAAACATGTTATGCTCACCCCACCCAAAATCTTTCTCTTTCTGCCCTTAAGATCATTTTTGAGTCAAGCATAAAAGATTTGCATTTCATTTCTGGAGGTTATGATTACACTACTTCCTTTTGATGCACCTTAGTAAATGAATCACCTGTTGTCTCTAGTTCCCTTTCTTGTTAATTTCACAAAAAACTAGAAGTTTTTAAGGATTTATTGTAAGAACAAATCACTAGAACTCACTGCAAATATCTAGAGAAGTTCCCTTTGAAACGTCGAAAACTAGTAAACCTTTCTAGTTTCTGAATTTCAATCTGATGCAGAATTGCCCTATTGAATCACAGACCATGAAAATGAAATCACTGTTAAAGTGTGCTTGCAACACTTGATATTAAGAAAACACAAATTTCTCTAGTACGTACACCATTTGGTTTATGTGTACATGAATCTCTAAACTTTTCGTATTAGTATTAATGTGCTATTAGTACATAACTTCTCCCAAATTCTTATTTTCCAAAAACAAAAAAATAAATTAGAAAAGAATTTCCCAGTTTCTCAGACTAAAACTTTGCAGGGTTGGCTCCAATACGGCATCTTGAATGATCTTTTAGGTGATGGGATCTTCACAGTCGATGGAGAGAAGTAGAGAAACCAATGGAAGATATCAAGTTACGAATTCTCCACCAAAAAAAATTTGGGACTTAGTGCAGTTTTCAGAACTAGTGCAGTAAAACTTGCTCAAAAAGTATCTGAAGCTGTGACTGAAAATCAAGCGACAGATATTCAAGTATGGAACTTCAGTTTGCTCTACAGTAAAATTAGGCCCCCAAAGTCAACTAGCTCTACCGCTGGATCAAAGTCTCGTAGGGTTTTTTTTGTGTCTCATAATTATATGAATTTTATAAAAGAAGTTTTAGGATCTTTTTAATATACTAGCTTTAGTGTACTTGCCTTGCACGCATTTTTGCATCTATTATAAAAAGTGTATAAAATTTAGAATAAGAATGAATTATGTGTATTAACAATTGACATCGGAAAAAAATACTATTTATTTAAATTAAAAAAAGAATTTACATTGATGAATAGTTGAACCCCACTAGTGAGATTCTATTGGGCTGTTGATTGATGAATAGTTGAATGCACAATTATTCGTTATGATGGACTTGCAACGATTAAGAATTTAGGTAGGTTATTTATATATATTTTTATGAAGATAAGCATGATATGTTTTTGTATTTGACTTGCAGATATGTAGGATAAGGTTGCGTACGATAGACCCTTGCGGTCCGATCCTTCCCGCAGGAGCTTAGTGCACTAGGATGCCCTTTGTATCTGACCTAATATCTTTTATAGACGATATTATTGGTGTAAGAAATACTACTTCAAGTATTAAGTATTATATATACCATATATGGGTGGCAAACGGGCGGGTCGGGTTGGATATGGACTGGTCGAAAATAAGTAATGCGAAAATTGATAAATTATCCGACCCCATCCATATTTAATACAGATAGAAAATGGGTTAAGTGCAGATACCATGGATATCCATGGCTTCGTGAATATCTATCACTTTTGGGAGAATTCCTAGTCTCACAAACTTGAGGAGCCCCCAATTTGAGTCTTACAAATATAAAAGTTAAACACATTAGTTATCCATTGGTTATTCATTTTCTAAGTGGATAATATTGTTCTTGTTCATATTTGACCCATTTTAAATGAAATTGAATAATATGGATGGATAACTGATTTTTTATCCATTTTTCCACCACTACCATATAGTATGTATGTTTGTCCTTACTAAAATGTTCTAAATTATAGGCTTTTTTGGATGTGGTTGAGGTTGTTTGAATGAGTAAATAAATTATGAAAAAATTTTCTTCTCTCTTATTAATTAGTATTTTTATCTCCCCTTCAGATTTGAGGTTCTCTCCTCTATTATATTTATTTCATTTTTATGCTTCCAATAATTTAACATTTCAATGCCGCTCTATTTTTTCTCCCTAAAAAAGCTATTTTTCTTGTCTCTTTTGATTGATCTATAAATAGGAAAGTAAATTCTTTTAACTTATCATATTAATACATGAATTTTATGAAATAATTCTAAGGCCTCTTATTATAGTTTGACTTTAGACGATTAATTTCATTGGTTCGCCCTTACGGTTAGGTATGAAATTTTATTTATTTAATTTTGTATTTACTTAAGGATGCTTGGGTATTTTTTATTTTCTCAATCTTAGTGATTACTCAGTCTCACAAAATCACATTTTTAATATTCTTTAACTATCCATCGTATTACTTAAAGTTTTAACATCAAAGAACAGAAGTTATATTTCAAGCCATGTTTAATGAATATTGTTTCCTTTTTTTTCCTTCACTTGCAAGGTTCCTTAAGTTTTCTGATCTTAATAAAATTTAGTGGCTTAGAATTGAAGATACTCTTTAAACATGCACAACGACATATATAGCTTTTTACAAATGACATTATTTAAAAAGTTACTCGCAAAATGTGATCAGTGATACACGATACCTATAAAAAGTGACAATTGGACCATATCAAATTTTATATATCTTAAAATAATTGTCCGCACTATAGAAAGTTACAAAATATGATTTAATACGTCTAAAATAAAATCTATGACAAAAAACTGTAATAAAGTTGTCATAATTGGTTTATATTTGCTAGAGTAATTCTTTTCAGAGTTAATTTTATACTTGATGGAGTAATATATCTCTCTCTAAAATCATTAAAATTTATATTATTTAATTTCATTTGCTTATAGGGTATCTAACTTATAGCGTCCAAATAATAGATAGTTACCTTATTCAAATTCAAATAATAGAGGCGAACGATATTTCGCGGACTTCGTACATAGTTTAAAAATGAAAATATTTAATAATTATATTTTAATAGATTGCAGAATTTTAAATATTAGGAAACTAATTATGTTCCTAAATATTAGGAAAAAATTAAATGACTATTCCTATATATTAGGAAAATAATTAAATGATTATTGTCCAGTATTAACTCGTTTTTAAAAGGGGTAACAATGACGAAGTATATTTTGTTAAGGGTTTTCGTACTTTTAATGTAGTATAGATATAGATAGAATACGCGTTATGCGCGTATACCCAATCGATACGCATAAAACTTTAAAAAATTATATAAATATTACTAAACTATGTACACTTGTCATGCAATTGTTACTTATCATTTTAAATGTATTTCTAGAATTTGATATTGAGTAAAGCAGTATAATAATTATGGACAATAAAATAATTTATATATAATCATAGTGTTAATTAGACTGTGTATTTAAATTTTGA